CTAAGTGCCTCCAGTGGAGAGTGGTAAGCATCCCACCTCTGGGCAAGCAGCACATATTCGTATGTAAAGTTGGTAAGTGATATGAGGTTGCCAAATGGTAAGAGAACCTTTAGCCAATTCAACCATTAATTTTTTCCTATGTCCCATTAAAAATAACAAAAACACACACAAAACCCTCTGCCATTTTCCACAATAAAACCGAATGGATTAATACCCAGTCAGCTGAACTATCAAAATATTTACAAAATGCTCTGTTCATAGGAACTTCTGTTCTCCTCACCTAAGGAAAAATAAATGCTTCCTGCTTTTACTATTATTTACTATCTCCTGGGCCTTAAAATAAGAGATCGTCCAGACCTTGCTAAACAGTGCCATCAGCACAATATGCTTTAGTCTTCCCTGGAGGGTGGCAGTCAGATGTGACTTCTGGCAGCGAAGAGGTACTTTAGGACCATACATTTTGTCTACAACAGGAAAAATAGCAGGACCCTAAAAACTTCTCAAATCGACAACAGAGAGAAAGAAGAGCATGCACATTCACACTCCCTGTGGGAATGAGTGGAACCAGGGACCACGGACTGGAAGGGGAAGCCTGGCTTCCTCACCAGGGAGTTAGGAAGCTGGGCCAAAGAGCAGACCACTGATGTGTGACCATCTCAAAAGGTCTGAATTCAGCACGCTACTGCATCTGCTTATTTCCTCCTGGTATTACGTTTATAACTTGGAAACACTACCCCTAGGGTTATGTATGGCTCTCATCTGAGAGCTTTCCTGTAACCATCGTTACTGGGCCAAAGACTTCCTCAAATTAGAATTTTTTCATAGAAATCAACATTTACTAAAGCTGCAAAGCACAGCATTCTGTATCTATTATATATTCAATAATTGTTCCATCTCAAGAAAAATTTAAAGCAACAATTAGTCTGTGGTTATATTAACAAGAGCCCCTACCATTGACTTGACCACCTACTTTGGCTGAGCACTGCAGGAAGAAAACACATTTCTTCATTTAGACTTTCCAACAACTTTGATGAGGAGGTGACAGCAGGCCCCTTTACAGATGGGAAGCGGAGATTTACAGAGATTACATAATTTGCCCAAGGTCCCCAGGCTAAGAGGCAGAACTCACTTTTGTTCCCAAATGTAACTCTAAGCACATTTTGCAGGGTTAACTGCAAAAAAAATCACAGATTAACCCACCCCTGATTCTGTCTCCATGCTGGAGTGGACACGTTTGCAGTAATTTTTTCTTTCATTTTGTCCTGGATGACTCTCTAGCCAAAGATGGCGAAAGGATTCCTCTCAGCAGCAGGCTCTGGTAGACTGCCTGAGGCCCCTAGGAAGAGACTGACAATGTGTGTAAGAGGCTCATGGCAACACAGATGCTCAGCTGTGCTGGGAGGGGGGAGGGGTTAATACTTATGCCCCTCTGCTGAGCAATATTCAATGGCCATAGACTTTCTCTCTACTGGATGCTCATTATCTAGACATTCTCCACTTTTGATAGATGACAAAAGTTTGGGTAGATATAAGTCACACTCTCACACATGAAGGTTACCAATTAGTATGAACCCCCAAAATAGTATTTTTACAAATGAGAGTCACTGTCTTCTTCCTGCATCCCCTCCCCCTCAGTTATTTGGCAGTTAGTTCTCTCAAATTACTTATTCTTACGTGAAATTGGTCTCCCAACAGTCTCATCAACTCCACAAGCCCACCCTCAGTCTGCCTACTTATGACTCAGAAGCTTTTATCTTCTAAGTGATCATCTATATTTTTAAAAAGATAAAATCAGGGGCCTTGCTTATCAAGTATAATATAATATATGGCTTCTGGGAAAACTACAAGAGCGCAGCATGCACAGGCTCAGAATTGATTTAGGCTTCAGGTAGCATGTTAAGTTTTAACAGGAAGACAAGAATAAAGACACAGTTTTGGAAGTGGAGGTGTGACTTTTCCAAGGCAGCACCAACTGCAACCTGCCAAAAGCAAAATACCTAAAACTGAGAACCAAAAGGGCCCTCCACCAAAACATAACAGAGAATTATTAATCAGAAGAATGTGTCAACACACATTTCCTCTGCCTTTGAGGTATAATACTAAAAAGTATCTAGCGAACCAAAGTTCTATATAAACACATACCTGGACTTCATGTATTTCTCTAAACACAGCTGTTGACAAAAGTGCTTTTAAACTTATTCATACACATGCAGCTAAGAACTGAACTAAATGAAGTTTGGCTCAAATTATAACTCTAAAGTGATAATAAGAACTAATATTTATACAGCATGTTTACATATCTTAACTGACTGGAAATGGGAAATGTGCAGCCTGGACTAAAGAGGGCAGTCTCTCCAGGTCACGGGAGGAGGCTGGGGATTGCCATCCCTTTCAATACAAGTGATAATCCTCGGCCATAAATAACATTTACACAGCTCCAATTATATGAACAAGGGATACTGACTTATCCAAAAATTGTAGTCTTAACTATCCAGGTGAAAAGAAGTGTGGAGGGTAAGGGAGCTAAATCTTCATCTTCCAAACAAAGAAGTCAACAGATACTTCTGCAAGCCAAGAACTGTCAGTTATGTAGCAATATCAGGGTTGATACCCAAAAATAAGAATTACAAAGTGAAAAGGTGGCCACTGGGGCACAGGGACTATTACTAAATTTCATTACAAGTTTTATACATTGTTTGAGTTCTTAAAGTACATCAATGCATGACTTGATGAAAAACGTTAAATTAGTTTTATTTGAATTACTAACACAAAGAAATAAAAATTAAAAGCTTGTCTGAATGTCTTGGGCTAGGAATAGAAGACAAAAGAAAAAACAGTGGAGGTCCTCTTTCCTTAAACAAAATTACCTCCTGGGTGGGGTGCCTATGGACTGCTAAGCAAAGGGGTGATGTGCCAACCCCAGGAAGCCAGTCTGGACAGCCGGGCAACATGGGGGACAGAGGCTGCAGAAAAACCACATGCCTTCCCATCCAACACCCCAAGTGACTACACGGATAACAGAATTGGGGAACATCACCAAAAGACCTGCCATCCCCCCGCCCCAAACCAGGAGATTTAGTCATTACCATCTATGATACTGAGGCCTAATCAGAATTCAAATCAAGCACTGTAGGAATTCAGAGGGGGGATTACAGTCTACTCATGCTTAGAGGGAAGGTAAGGAAAAGCACCATAAACAATGGGGTCCTGGGTGGGCTCTAAGAATACACATGAGGTAGAGATGGAGGAGAAACAGCCTGATAAAGGCCAGAAGTGAGAGTATAGATGGTGAGTCTGGAAATGGGACGTGGTTTAAGCCACATCAAATGGCATACCTCGTGCTACTGTGGCTCCACCTGAGCTTGGAGACTATCAGCAGGGCTGGGAGTCAGTTTAGAGGTTTCTGGCACAATGCAAAACTAGACAATATCAACTTCAACACAGTAAAAAAAGCTGTGCCTCTAAAATTATTTCATTTATAGAAGTACATCTTTGATATTTAAACTGATTTATCTTGCTTTGGACAGACTCCTAAATCCCAGACACTGATACTTACCTCATTATTCAGGGCTCCTCTCATATCCTCAGGTTTCCACACATCCTTAGGTTTGTGACAGTGGATTCTGTCAATATTTTTCTTTATTATCCCCCAGAGTGTTGAATGCCTAAGACTCAGAGATTGTGTTTCAGGTACCCCCTCCCCACCGCTCTCCAGTCAGCCTACAAAATGGAATGCCACTATAAATGTACAAGTTCCAATAAATTTTTTTCCTTTGACATTCTTGTATAATACTTTCGACTTCCAACACTGTCTTCATTATTTAATGTAATGAAATTGAATCAAGCTTGATCTTCCCATAACGAAGAACAGATTTTTAAAATTTTTTAATTTATTTATTGATTTTACAGAGAGAAAGGAAGAAGGGGGAGGGAAGGAAGAGGAGAAGGAGAGAGAGAACCATCAAGTTGTTGTTCCAGTTTTTTATGTACTCATTGGTTGATTCTTATATGAGCCTTGACCAGGGGTCAAACCCACAACCTTGGCATATTGGGACAATGCTCTAACCAAGTGAGCCACCTGGCCAGAGCCCCCAAGTATTGATTTTGATTAAAATACACACATATGACTCAAGTTTTTTGTTTTGTTTTTGTATCTGAGCTAGTTCTAGCAGTTACTGTATTACAAATAAACAAACCTATCCCTGCATAGAAAACTGAATATTTATAAAAGACAGTTTGTTTTTATGTCACGGATCCCAAGCCTTCCAAAATAAAAGTGAACGTATTAACTTTTACTTTGGCTTTATCAACGCTTAGAAGTCTCATTTATGAAAGAAACCAAGTGTTATAAGTAAAACCTGGAAGAGAAAATTAAGAAATCAACACATCTTTACTTTTGTATTATTTTTTTCTTTTTTATTATTTTAATTCCATGAGTAAAAGAGGTAGGTACTGCAGATTAAAATTGAGACGGTAATTCTCTGCTTCAACAGCTCCCCGTCCCGCTGAGAGAAATGAGGACAGACCATTTGCAAAGAGGGCACACCCCTCAGGAGCACCGCGGGCCCCCACAGCACCTTGCTCACAGAAGTGACTAACATTACTTGGTTAACTAGTGAAGAGATGCATAAAATCTGTCATTTCGAATGTATTTTTGCTTAGGCTGAAGCCAAACATTTAATTTTTAAGATGACTCCATGTAAACAGAAAGCAGATATAAATAGAGCAGATGTATGTGAAGAGAATAAAAAGTGAGGCTGACATTCTAGAAACAAAGCTCAAATTCAGGATGAACCAGGTGGAAGGAGAGAATTATTCCAGACAGTGAGTTCAGGTAGAGGAAAAGCATGAGCCCACGCAAGGAGGCAAGACCATCGATAACTGCAGGAAGTCCCAAAAGGTCAGTGCTGCTGTTGGGTCAAGCTCAAGGTGAGTCAGGGCAGAGATGAGAGTGTCAGTCACGCACAACAGGTCTGCCAGGTCTAACAGTATGAACTTACCTTGTAAGGGAGAAGGACCCACCAAAAGGACATGGCCATGCTTGTCTTTTAGAAGTATCCCTCCCATGGGTGACTGGGGGCAGATACTGTGGGTGGGGAATAGACTGGAGGGGGGGAATAGAAGCAGAAAAATGACCTTAGGTTTGTAGAAAATCATACACAAGAAATATTTAGGTGTTAAAAAAAAATCATCAGGTTTTCGTGAGTGTCTGCATAGGAGTGATGAGATAGTGAAGGAGAATTTAGTGGCTTTGAGCTTGGGTGACAAGTAGACTACAGTACCAAACAAGAGGAACTCACGGTCAAGGGGAAGTTTTGAGGGGTTTTCTTTTGTTTGATAATGATAATAAGCATGATTGACAATGAGCATGCTACCCCAATGCAAAGGGAAAGAAACTGACAAAACAAGTGAAGGTAATGATATAGGTCCAAAGTTGGATGACTTCTAAGTAAACAGAACACAGGAAAGCCGGGCCCGTCCCCCTGAGAGACAAACTATGATTGCATCAATCCAGAGTGCCATGTAAGAATACAGAGTCCTGGCAACAATCCGTTAAATAAAAAATAATCCAGAAACTGGGGTCAAACAGGGTGCTCTCTCCCCTTCCCTTCCACTCTCTCTAAAAATCAATGGGAAAACTTAAGGGAGGTGGGAGTAACCTGAAGACAGATGAAGAGACCTAACAGCACCAATTCAATGGGTATGTCAGAATCAGAGCCAGACTAGACCAGGCACTAAGTAAACAGCCTGAGGTCCTTACGATCTTTCTTCTGATTTGGTTGTTACCTTGGCCTTGGTTGATCAAGACACTCAGGTGGCCCTGGCCAGTTCGGCTCAGCGGATGGAGTGTCAGCCGTCAGACTGAAGGGTCCTGGGTTCAATTCTCATCAAGCACAATGTACCTTGGTTGCAGGCTTGATCCCCAGCCCTGGTCGGGAAGCATACAAGAAGCAACCAATCGATGTGTCTCTCTCACATCAATGTTTCTCTCTCTCTGTCTCTCCCCTCCCTTCCACTCTCTCTAAAAATCAATGGAAAAATATCCTCCGGTAAGGATTAACAACAAAAAAAAATGCTCAGGTAAACACGTACTTGCACAGCCTCCCCACTTCTTTCCCTGATACTGAAATGGGAAATGCTCTGGTCTGTTTTACCCTCAAATATTTTTCGGGTTTCCAATAAATTTTAAGGAGTTAGTTGAAGCCATGTGAATTAAAACTTGAAAAAACTTCCCAATAAATATAGAAGCTATTCTTACAACAGCTTCACAGGAAGAGGTCAGAGCTAGGCATGGGAAAGACGGAGCCTCATCAGGGTGCAGTTCTCACTTGGGGGTCTCCCTCTCCTCTCCCCCTGCACCCAGTTTAATCCCAGTTATTGCTGGCTCAGACCTCGATAATTTGTAATTTGTAACCCTAAGCACAAATCAGATCCAACTTATACAAGCACATCATACATCTGGGCTCCAAAAAGGACTGGACATCTGTAGTACTTGACATTCAAACCATTGGCAGGAAGTCAGCATTTCATAGAGCACTTTAAATGTTTTGGTTTGAGAGCTAATGCAGCATTTCCACTAGTCAACACGAGCAGCCCAGGCAGAAAGCAAAGTATATTTCCCTCAACAACAGATGTCACAGTCGCTGACCCAATCTTGTCTACAGAGACCCTAAGGGACTTGAAAAATTGGTAAGTAAGGAAAGTCCAACCATTGTTGAGTATATTTAAAGACCATTGTGATTTCAATGTAACATGGCTTTTTGTGCTTTTAATATCCCCCAAATTTCTTAATGGATGGGATGACAAGTGACAGATTTACCAGTGAGATTAGACTTTTCAAAGACTAACTTAACTTTCCCTGTAAATGTTCTTTTTAATTTCAAGAAGCAGGCTTTTCTTCAATGGGCTCATGCATTAGGCTGTAGAAATTCCTACTTTAAAAAAATTGTAAACTCATTGCTTGTAAAATATAAGACAATGCTGTGTGTATGGGGATAGTGAGTTAAAACCAGTTTGGGATGTGATAAAGAGCACCAATACAGCTGGGGCATGACGTAACCCTCAGGGCTAAAGGAGTCCAATGAAAAACTAAAATGCTCAGGGAAAAAAAAGAAAACCAGAATGTTTGGTTTAAGAGCACAAAAGGCCACAATCTCACTAAAAACTGAAACCAAAGGTGAAATGCTTCACGCAAGGAAGCATTTAAAGTCTTCTCTGAACCGCTAAACGCCTGGGCCACTGCTGTGGATCTAATGGTGAGTCACTGCTTTTCAAGGGAAAGAAACAGGAATTAAATATTCCTCATAGTTGCTGTTTTAGCTCCTGTTACTGTCTTAGGTTTTGATTTCCACGTTCTTGATTCTTAACTTCTGATTTCTTGCTCTGCGATTTCACAAACATTTAAAAATCAAGCCATGGATAGCTTTTTAGCTTTAATTTGTGGATGGCAAGGACAAAGAACATAATTTGTGGAACTTGTTCTATGTTCATTTTTCTAGAAACTGAATAGTAAATTCCATAAAATCTAGGCTAATAGCTTATTTAAAAACTTAATTTGTGATTAGAATCCACTCCAGTTTATTTTCCAGACAAAATAATTTTTAAAGAACCTCATTTTCCAGAGAAATTATAAGAACACTGCCAGGGAAGCAAGACTTCCAGAGGATACTTAACCAACTGCAAGCACCTCACTCTCTGCCGTGAAAATTATTTTTAAAACCATTCAATTTAGTATTTTTTAAAAGCTCTGACTTTTTAACAAATGACTTTATGTGGAGAAACTGCAACCTCCTAAGTCGTCTAACTCATTTTATATCTACAATTGTTCTTGCCAGCATTCCCCACTTAAAGAAAGCATTCACAGGAGAAAATCTCTCTCTACACAGACACACAGACATTCAAATACAGACACAGATCTCCCACTTACTGTAATTAAAATGAATCAACTAGCATTTTCAACTTGTATCTCCGCATCAGTACCACCAATTCTAGGGAAAGACCCTTTATCACGTTCTTCAACACATTTCACTGGTTGCGAGAGATTACCATATGTCATCAAGACATTCTGAGAAAAACTCCAGAGTAAAGTTTTTTTTTGGAAAATATAACAAAGATCTAGGCATACTTTCCCCAATATACCCTTTGGTACAATTATATAGATTTTTTTTTAACCACTGATATATAATTTTACTTATAACTATTAAATGTATTAGCATTAACCCTATAAAACTGCCATTTTTTCGATAAAAAAGTCAATTTGTCAGCAATTTCATGTGACTCAACACAATAATAAAGAATCAGTCTCAAAAGGCAGTCCCAGAAGTCAAGGGGTCAGAACACTGATAATGATGATTTACATAATTTTACATGATCGTGAGATGCAGACTTCTAATTGTCCCCATAGGTATAGTCCCCTGCTTTTAAAGGCTTTGCACAAATACTAATATCAAAATTGGGGGTTTCCAGTGCCAAATTACATTGGGAAAGACCTTCTATTACTGGCTTTACTTTACAGATTAAGAAATGAGGGTCCAGAGAGGTTTAGTGACTTGAACAAGACAACACAGCTAATAAGGACAAGGATGGTATTTGGGGAAAAGTCATCTGGCTTCAAGTCTAATGTCCTTTCACTGAACCCATGTTTCCTCTGACCTAAGGAGATGAATATGCCCAATAAAAACTGTGATTTATACATAAACACAAGTTAGAGATGCAAGAGTACCCAAGCCTGCTCTGTCCCTTAGCTAGCTGTTTTCACAACAATGGCAATAATCACACTGTATAAGAGACTCAATGTTACTGGGACTCAGACTTTTAGAGGCAATCTCGTGGAAAAAGCAGGCACTTTACAGATAAACAGCTGAACTGTGACACTGAGCTACTTTTTTGTTATTGTTTTTTAGCTCTTTTGCGTGTTTGATCTTCTCCTGTCCCATCCTATCTAATAATCCTATCTGATAACAGACAAACATGGTAATTGACCATACCTTCGCTACGCATCCCATTGGCTAATCAGCGAGATATGCAAATTAACCTCCAAAAAAGATGGTGGTTAATTTGCATACGTAGGTGCAAAGCGGCGGAGCAAAGACTGAAGGCGGCTCCGGCCAGAGCAGCAAAGACTGAAGGCAGCTCTGGCCAGAGCGAAAGCCTGGGTCCTGGGTGCCGGAGGAAAACCAGTGTCGGCAGCCAGGGGAAGGGAAGGCCTATTGCACGAATCTTTTCGTGCAACAGGCCTTTAGTTATCTATAAAACATCATGATAAAGCTATCACCCGCAAAGAGCTACAAAGATACCAACTGAGTCATGCTAGTACCAAGAACATAGCAGCTATTTAATTAAAAATGGAATTCCTTCCCCCATTCTTGCTAAGAACTTATTCGTTAGAAGTAGTACTAGCAATGGTAAAATTCCACAAAAAAATGTTTGAGTTAGAATCTGGCACTCGTGGAGCCAAAAAAGAAATCACAAAATAAGGGGAAATGAATACTTCTCCTAATTTACCCTGCTGCCACTCCAACAGGAAACTGGGCATCATGAGCACATAAGTGGTGCTCATGAGACATGAGAGCCTATTAACATAAGTGGCCAACACTGGAAACTGGCAGGCCAGTCCTTCATGGTGAGACAGTGGGCCTGGCTGTGAGGGGGCTGCAGACCTGAGTCCGGCTCATTAGTCCCATACATGGTGGTTCCCTGCAGAAAGAGGTCCAGAAAGACACTCAGGTGATTTGCTTCATTCACATGTTTGGTGAATAGATGGAAAACCAGACAACCTTAAAAAAAAAAACAAAAAAAAAAAAAAAAAAACCTCAAGAAAAATTTAAATGAAAGGTATCTGAGTTGGAAGTTTCACATTAAAAAAAAAATGTAATTCTTCTTCACAAAAGTCTTGAGTCCCATTTTGTTATATACAGAAAAATAAGCAAATTAACCCCCCAAAAAATCTTATAGGAAAATAAAGTAAAATAAATTTTCACCAGGAATTCTCAAACTTTTGGTCTCAAGATCCCTTTTCTACTACTGAGGAGCCTAAAGATCTTTTGTTGTGTAAGTTATACTAGCAATACTCATTATATTAGAAATTACAATTGAAAAATTTAT